ATCTCTAGATGAGAAGAAAACGCTTCACTAAATGGAAGCGCAGTCCGAATCGTACGCTTAACTTATATTTACGATATTTCTATAACATATATCACGAAAAAAGTATAACATAGAATTAGGGTTTTAAGCAGGTTGCAACTGTAAAAATGGACATTAGTAATAAGAACATTTGTTTAGACAAATTTCAAATCCAGCTTTCCTCAGTGAAAAAACGGAATCTTCATTATTAAATAATTAACAATCAAGTTTAAAACCGTAGAAAATGAACATAGTGACCTAGAAAATAATTTGGAAGCACAAAATATTGTGTTTGTGTTATTTGAAATGAAAGGCTACAATCCCAACAAGTGTTTTATGAATAAAACTAAGATTAAATGGCAAAGGATATGGAAAAGCACGAATCCACTCTGTAAAATCAAAATATCATAAAATTTTGAAATTAAATTAAAAAGTATGACTAAATTTAAAAGATATGAGAAAATCAAATGTAATATTTTAAATCTGTTCTGATGTAATTTCCATCAGATGTGATTTACATCATTCACACCTGTTCTTAATATTTAAGTTGGGTTTTGCCTAAAAAGCGATCGTATAATTTTTTATTCATTATGTCGTTATTACTGATTTCCATTCTTCCAGTCGCACTGCATTAATATATAAATATACACTTGACAAACGTTCTTATATGTTTACCGTCGTACAATCATCCTGGATGTCTGCTGAAATGTACTTTCGATATTACTATATTCTACCACGACGAAAAGAGTTCTTTATAAAATATAGATACACAAGTTCTCGTTATACAATAAGAAGCTCAATTTTTCGAAGCTTATGTCAAATTATATTTATACAATGAAAAATTGACTCGACTTATTTGATGTATACGCTGAAAATTTAACTGTTTGCCGATGAAAAACCAATGGTCGCAACATTGGTTGTTTCACCAGAGCCAGCGCGAGTTGTTATATTTTTTATGTGAATGAAGCAAAAAACTCGTTATGGTTCTTCGATCAATAGTTGCACCTATTGATGAACCTGAATTTGCCTTGCCTAAATACGATTATACCAATGAAAAGCCTCACTTAACATTTTAATTAACAAAACATCTAAAAAAGTAAAAAAGGTCACGTTCGTCCTGCCAATACCGGATAAGAAAGAGTATTTTACCTTACTTATCATAATTTTAAAGTAAGGCAGAAAAGAAAGAGAGAGAGAGAGAGAGAGAGAGAGAGAGAAAGAAAGAGAGGAGAGAGAAAGAGAAAGAGAAAGACAGGTTTTGAAAAGTTTTTAAAGATAAGTCTCCCGTCTCCGTATACACTGCAGAGTAAATGATGTATTCTAAATGTGATGTGTAATCAATATTTTCTTGTAATGTACTCTCAATCCAATCATAATTTCATTCAAAATAAAGAATATAACTTATTTACATCAGAAATTCGCTGTATTTTATTTAAAGTTGTGCAGTTATTTGTTATTTTTGACATAAGTATTCTTGCAAATTTTAAAATTTGTTATAAAATAATAATAATGTTTCAGCTCGTATGATATAAATATCAAATTTAAATTTAATTCTTAGAAGTAACTAGAAGATGATAGATTTTTTAATTGCAAGACTATCCAACACTGGCTCGAAGATCCTCTTTAATTAAATTTAAATTTAATGTTTAAAATTTTTTATCATACTTATTACACGTGTATATATATAAAACGTCATTTAAACGTCATTGAGAATTAATATGATAGATTATTATCATTAAATTTCTTTTAAATCATTAAATAATATTCGTATGTATTATACATACGCTCTCTTAACTCTATCATAATGCAAACGTGTTTCATTCCATATAACGTTCAATAAAAAATATTTTTTACAAATAATTGGTTTTGTATCATATCGCATTATAATAATTAGATGTTCCTGTAAAAACAAAATTATAAGTCTAGAAACCTATCTTATAATGTGTTTGGATGATTCAAAAAAGCTTTTAATTAATCTTTATGAACAACACTTTTATATCACAATTTTTATGAAGAGAGAAACAATCGACAACTGCAGATATAAAAGATGTAGAATCATACTAAATAAAAATTTGAAAAATCCTGCAAAATAAAAACATTGAATTAAAAAATAAAAATATTAAGTTAAAATCTGAAAACATAGAGAATTAAAATTGTCATGAGAGATAACATCAATCAGCATGATATAAAACTTCCTTAAAAGCCTTAATCAGATGTAAATATGTAAAATGTATAAATATAAAAGAAACACACTAAACAAATCACACCTGAAAATAATAACATTTAATTAAAATCTGAAAATTAAATATAATTAAAGAATTAAAATTTTTATGAGGTAACATCGAACAACAATATACATAATTAGTTTGTTAAAAAAAAAAAGATAATTACAATATTGGAGATTGATATGTGTGTAAATGTATGACAAAAATAAGATGCTAGAAAGGGATATTAGAAAAGAACAGTTAATATGTTACAATTAAATTTTCACTAATGACTCGGAATCAGCTGTCTAAGATTTTGTTCATTTTGTTCAATCAATTACATTATATTATACACCTTTTTCATTTTGCACTGTCGTAATATACTATTGTCCGCTGAAACAAATAAATGCATTTCAAATTTTTTCACTTTTCACGTTTCAAAATAATATCAAATTTATATAAAATAGAAATAATAATCAAAAGGATGATGATATCATCATTCCTTTCAACTAAACTTTGAATATAAAAGTATAATATAATAGCTTTCGCTATAAAGCTTGTCAATAAAGTCATTTAAACGTTTAGAAGTTTTATGATAATACAAAAGATCATACAATACGAGCCAAACAATACGATTTTTTATTTGCAAAGCAAAGTGTCTTATAATGCAAAATATATCAATATCTTGATAGTTATTATCTAAATATTTAAACGTCTAAACGCCTGTGCACTTTAAATATAATGTTATCACTTCATTTGCGCAAGAAACTTTTTCCGTTTTTCAAAAAAGAATCTTGCTATTTGCCCACCCAAAGTTTTGTCATTATCTTTGTAATTAACAAACTGCAAACTCATTGCCAAAGCAGAAGTTCCAAAGTTTGTTGACGTAAAAAGTTATAGAAAATATAAAAAAGAGAATGTATAAAATTTTTAAATCCTATCTAAAAGAAAACTCCTGCCTAATATAAAATTCTACTTATATAATAGAAAAACCTACCCAATAAAAAATTCTACACCTAATAAACCGATAAGTTTATAAGATCGAGTTTTTCGCGAAACCGTTCGGGAGGGTATCGCGAGATGCTTAGCGCAGAGCTCAGCTCAATTATCGCTATTTGCATCTGAAATTCGAAAGGGAGTTTTCGCAGAATGCTTAGCGCAGAGCTCGGCTCAGTTACCGCTATTCGCATCCAAAATCCAAGAGAAATTGCCTCGGTATTTCTCGTGGGACGCCAGCGCAGAGCTCAGCTCAGTTTCCGCTAATTGCGTCCAAAGTTTGTGTTGATAGTTGGCCATTATTCAATAGTCAATCGTATCAACGTTGTTTTGAGATCCGTGCTCGACCATTATTGATAGGACCACGAATTTCGAATTTCCGTGATCAACCATGGAATCAATTAAGCCATGGGACCACAGATGCATGGATAGACTAGGAAAGATAACGAAGCAATTGACGTATAGCAAAAATAAATTTTTATTCAAAAACCATCAATTGCAAATACGCTTTTTATTTAATAAATTACTTCGAATTTAACATCAATTTTTAATTTACGCAAATTATGCAAAATATATACTGTCTATTTTTAATATAAATTTTTATATAGACATATGCATTTCGAAAAATTTTTGTATTTGCTTTTCTACGCCAATTTGTGCAATATTTAACCCTGGAAAGATATAAAAAAGTAATACACTTACCGTAAAAGGAAATAAAAGTTACACGGTACACGGTGTAAGTACACACTTACACGGAAAAAAAGAATTTTGCTATTGCAACGAAATCGATGTTATTATTGATTATTAGATGTAATAGTTATAAAGTTTCGCTATGGTAACTAGTTTTTCAGATTATTATTAAATTAGAAAAATCTATTTTCTTGAAAGAATAAATAAATTTTGCAAAATATATTTATTCGAGAAAACACATTAATTTACTATTACAACAAAATAATTAATTTAAAAATACATTTTTTTATCGCAACGGAATTGTTATTGCTAATACAAATTTTGATGGTAAAATAAAAATCAATTTTTGCAATTTATAAACTGAGAAAAATTAATTTCATCAAATAAAATTAGTAACAAATCTTCTTTACTATATAAATTATAACTGACAAATTTTACTATATAACATAAAATTTGCTGCGTTAGCAAATTCTTTTTTCCCGTGCATTAACAATTTTTTTCTATTGTTTTACATCTATATAATCTTTTTTTTCATATCTTTTCTTTTCTTTTATATATTTTTTCTCATATAAAAAAATTTTTATGTTTAGATCCATCTTTACTCAACAAACTATAACGAAAGCATCGTTGTTTTCGACAACGTGTTTAGCCATTTTAATTAATTTTAGCCATTTTTAATAACTTGTGCATTCATTACTAAATAGAGATAAATATATAAAAATATAAAAATTATTTTTATTTTGTTATAAAAAAAAAATTCTGCAAGCTTGTCAAATAACTCAATATTATATATCTCAATATATCTCCTTAATCCATTATTATCTGTTAACAATAAGATATATTCCAGGGTTAAATACTTATCGACGAATCTGAGTCTTAGTCTATCCATTTTTAAAATAATGGATCTATAAAATTATTTATTTTTTATATTTTAATTTATAATATTATTGTACATGATTCTAAAAATAATAAAACAATTGTTCTTCTAAAAATTAACATAATTATATACATTATTTAAAATATTTCAAAGAAGCCCAAAAATATATATATAAAACATTTATAGAATCAATATACGATCTACATTATGTTAATATTTTGAGTATGTATCTTATAGATCCATTATTTTAATAAAAAATTAAAGACAAATTCACTCACCGGACGATGCGCAGCAGCGGAGTTGTTGTTTTGTTGATCTGCAAAGCTGATCTGTAACACACAAAAGTAAATTCAGATTAGAGCTGCGTTCAAAATGATTAATATTTGTAAAATAATAATTGCGCATATTAAACTTTTTAATTTATTTGTCTGAGCAAATATCTAATAAAATATTTATTAAAAATAATTAAATTATTTGGAATAATAATATATGTATATGTTAAAAATGTCTAATAATCAAATATGAATATTAAATATTGCAAATATTTCATTAAATATTTTACTAAATATTTCTATTTTGTGCACAACATTTTATAATAAATGACAAATAATTGCTTACTCTAAAGTTGCTCCGCCGGCGCCCGATGTTCCTCTCGAGCCTCTTCCTCCTCTCAGTGGTCTTGAAGGTATTCACACACGTTCGTGACGCACGGCACTTTAAACGCACTCCCGACACGCGTTTTATACTACTGCGAAAAATTACGGCGGAACGATATTACAATAGTCACACGATATTTTAGCCGACACTCCCGACGTGTATTTTGTCATATTAGGACATTATAAGTTAAACTTGAATATCGCTCATCGCACGGAATACGTGTTTGACACAATGCCATGTACGCTACAAGTAACGATAGAAAAAGGGAAGGAAGGTAAGAAACTGAGAGGAGTAATAAGGATTGAGGATAGTTGGGGAGGATAACGCGTCGATACATCTGCCCCGCTTAAGTGCCGCCGTGCAAATAGTAACGCTGAAAATCGCAAAAAAATTAAAACATTACATATAAGTCTTGCTAATATAAAACCAAAAATACATCAATAGCACATTAATGCTCTATTAAGTTTAATATATTAAATTTAATTAAATATATATTTATTATAAATGTAAGTCATTAATAAAAAATAAAAAATTAAGTTCCACAAATTTGTGAATAATATTATTACCTGTAATAATAAAATTTTGTCTTAAATTAAAAAAAAAATTAATTAATTAATTCTTGATAAACGATCAATATATCTGTTTATGCAGATTTAAATAACAAACCAATAATTATACTCACAGTTGTATATAGGATATATTGGAATCAAAGCTGCAAATTCTGCCTTAATTTGCTCCACATTTGTTCCACCGAAGAATCGTAAAAGAAGATGAATGCACTTGATTATGCGCGCTGTTAAACAAAAGTTCATCAGCATACTTTACTTTCGAAACAACGCCAAAAGCATGAATTTACAGCATATTCCCTATATTAGGATACACAAAACGCAAACGCGAGATACAATAAAACACACTTTGCATCGTAACACGAGCAAAGAGTTTTTAATATACTATGTGCAATGAAGTATGTACGTTGTGTTTCCGCCATTTTAGGAACGTAAAGATTTTGTAAGTACCACTAAAATATATTCACCAAAACTGTAACCTTTTTGCATCCACGGTCTGGCAACAACGCGATCGACGAGACATCATTAATTTTGAACAATCGTCGTAAATAATATGATCCAGCAATCGCCCGACACTTTGATCAGCAGCTCCGATAACATTCACATTAATTATGTACTTTTAATTTGAATAAATTACTTTTAACACGGAGGAAATACACGACGACACGTTCCCGCCGCCTTGTGTGATTTTGTAATTGTGGCGCCCCGTAGTAAGAAAAAAACTGCAACTAGTTGATATCTGACCTTCGCGTCAGTTGGTAAGACATTAATATGGTAAATTAATAACTGTCGATAAGATAAAAAGAAATATTATTATATCGGTTACTATGAGTTCTTCTCACATTGTCAAACGCGTCTATGCAGAATGTAGCATGCACTTTACAATTATATGCATTTTATTAATACTAAAACAAAACAAGTGCGAGTTTGTGTTGGAAGTATCGGTTAAAGTGATAGATTGCTGGAATGTACATGCCATGAATATAATGTATCAATATTTACGATTAAAGACGTTTCGTTGATTGTTAATTGGATCATCGATCGAAATAGGTTATATTTCTAGTGAGTATAGACTTTGATACCGTAAACACGTAAAATAATCTCTACGCTTAAGAACATTGAAGTGCAATGTACTTTTCATTAGACGTAACGTATTGCATATTTAGCTTTGTGTCTCTGCGATAGCTAAGGTAGTCGTCGTTCATCTCGCTCGCTCTGTGTTTATGTATCAAGTCGACTGTCAAATGTCGAAAGTAATATAATTATATGTATTTCGCATTTGCGTTAACTACGGTATAGCGAATTCGTAATATAAATCTAATTTTTACCTGACAAACTTTGCATGATCGGACAGTCATCGTTTATATTATTGTTCAAAGTATGTGTCAGTGAAGAGTTCATTTTGATACATCCCGTCGACGGACGATGGCGCTCATTGTTCCGATATCTAGGAACATTCAGCGCTGCACACGCCATCTTTCGGTCACTATGACTTATTACAGTTTGTCACGGCTTGTCATTCGGAACGTGAATGTGAATGCTCCGCGATTAACCGTGATTAATCGCGATTAACTGCGATTTACTTCGTCAAAGTGCATAATAAATGCGAGTTTTTATCGGGAGTATCAACTAAAGTAACGGGCAATTGTCAGAATGTCTCACTTTTCGCGTACGTGACGCGAACAATTTACCGGTATTTCATCAACCGCTTTGACGCGGGAAAGCAAATTCAAATTGCTGCAGTTTAGTAAGTACAAATTTTCATGCAACGGGCACGCGAAAATGACCACTACGTCCGCTTAAAACAATTAAAGCGCCATATTGAAAAATTAGTTTAACGGAATTATATCGGATAAAACGTTGTCGCGTACGTGTCCGTATCCGTTGGTTTTTGTGCGATCGCCAAAATAGTCTCGCTCTGAGTGCGCATACAGTGTCGACCGTTACATGTTGTGATATTCTGTACTATAAATATGTGCGTGAACGCGACGCGGTGCGGAATGAGTTTTATATATCTCGCGTTTGCATTTCGTATACCACAGTGAATTTACGGTTTTCGACGTTGTTTTGAAAGTGAAGTGCGCGAGTGTTACAAAGTGCGAGAGGATTTCCAGAAAACATTCATCCATTCTTCGTTAGAGCTGATGCAATCTGAATATGAACAGACCACGGCAGAAACTGCAGCGGCTGGAGCAGACTACAATACCCTAGCTGGTGAGTACACAATTTATTGAGTAAAATTATTATTTAATCAAAGTGGAAAGAAGTAAATAATGCGTAATGAATAATGTGAATGAAATGTATTATTATGTATAATAATTTATATGTACATTAATTTTTTCAGGTGCAGCCGGAGAGCGTACTTAGCTAGGGTACAACACTGGTAAGTGAATTTATTCACATGCATGCATGATTACAGAAAATATTGATCTTGTTAATTCGCCAAACTTTTTTACTCATCTATGTAATATTCTACGTTAAATTGTGTGCGCGGTTGGCGCCTGTATGCTGCAGCACAAAATGCATTTAATCTCATGTTTGTATTTCGTGTATCATGTGTTTTTGATACACGAAATTTGTGAGTATTACTTTTTCACGTAAGAAAATGCTCGGCTTGACTGGCATGTAAATAAGTGTGTTCAATTGTCCAATGAAGTTAGAAGATGAAGATAGAATAATCCAAGACAGAGTTCACAACAGCAAAAGTGGGGTAAAATCTGGAGCAGATAATAATATCCTAATTGGTATGTATAACGATTTATTTATTATTTAGAAATGAAACCGTTATATAATTGTGATAACATGAAATTTGTCATTCTATTTGTATCGGTATCGTTGCATTTCACTTTTAAGTAAACTGCTGCCACTAGATGGTGCACACTGTTCATCAGTCGTGGAGACCGGTTTCTAGGCTCTGGGAAGTAGAGGGCACGACGGTACCGCGAGGGCGAACGGCAGAGGCATCGCCCTAGATAACGGTAGAATCGCGCAGTGGTGTCGCGTTGTCTTCTCGCGAGAGTGTGAAAATCTAGCGGCGTGGGGTTACAGGAAGGCAGGCGGCGGCAGAAGGGAGAGAGAGGCGCGTCCGTCCGCGTAGCAGCGTCGTCGTCGTCATCGTCCTCGGGACTCGCGTTATCCTTGTGAACCGCTTGCGAGTCGTGTGGCTAAAATCGATCGGTACGCGCAGTGCCGATATCGGCCGCTGTGTGAGTTACATCGCAGCAAAACGAGACGCGGTAACGAGAGCCCGGTATTGCGTACATTCGTGGCGTGCGGCGCGAACATTCCTCGTACGGCTTATGCGAAATTAATCGGGTCGCGACCGCGACACGCTCGTATCTCTCAGTTGGTTGGCTTGCTGGCTGGGAAAGCGTTCGCAGCGAGAACGGACAGCGGCTCTCGACACGCGGCTCTCCTCATGAGCTCATGACAGTGCGACGGCGAAGCCGAGCCGAGTAGGGAGCGGGTGCGGACCCAGATAGCTCGAGTAATCGTCGGAAAATCTCGGTTGCGGAGAGGAACGAGAAAGAAGCGTGCGAGAGGACGGTCGGTGTGCGTGAGACGGAGACAACGAAGGCGCGAAAGGGAGAGAGGAAGACATACAAGCTTGCGCGTGTATACGTGTGTGCGCGCCTGAGAGCCGCCGAGCCGACTTTGCGCGAACGATAGAGACGGAGAGAGAGTGAGAGAACAGCGGAGAGGAGGCAGAAGAATTATCGAGTGAACCCGGGAGATACTGTGTTCTGCGAACGAAGCGTGGGGCATTAAGGAGGTACGAGAGGTAAGGACCGATGAGACGTGAGGCTTCTAAAAAAAGATCCTCCCTCCCGCGTGCAGAAGGCGCCGTGCATCGTCGTGGCGTGGCACGCCGAACCGACCGACCGGAAATCGTTCACGACGGTGGCGGCGGTGGCGGCCGCCCGCGCGTTCGTTCACAGAAATTGAAATCGGCATGCTTTCTCATCGGCATGCTCTCTCATCGGCATCGTTTTTCCGTGTCGCGAGCACCGCGGAAAATTGAATCTTACGTCCGATCGATAGCAATTTTATTTTCACGCGCGAGTTTAGGAGTCATTTTTGCACAGTTTTCTGCATCGGAATTCCAAGTTGACGCCGGGACCACGCCGGTTTCGAGTTTATACCGTTCATTCGATGCCGTTGAGACACTCTGAGAACAGCGTTTCTTTCTCCTATTATCCTTTCTCGTAATTTTCCCAACGAACCAACGGTGCGAACGAGCGAGCTTACCCGGCTCGCTCTTCTCGTTCCACACTGGGCAACTAGCGTTTCCTCTTACGGTCACGGCCCACCCGAGCCGCTCGCGATATACGCGACGATAGAAAGAGTTTCGTGCGAACATCGTTTACAGGAGACTTACGCTTCGTAAAGACCGTTTTAGTAAACATTAAGAATAGATTGGAGTTGAGTTAAAGTTCGACTGAAGTTTACCCAATTTTTTTCTTTTATTTTTTCTTTTGTCTTTACAGCAATGATAATTGGTTGAACTATAGTGATACACGAATATTTTTGGAAACTCTATGACTAATGCAGTGAAAAAATGCTTGAACGTGGACCATTCGAACAAAGACGCATTCTTTTCGGCTACAGTTTCTTGCACTCTCTGTGTTTGAGATAAAGTAAATGAGTAGTTACATTTTATGGCAAAGAAAGTGACACGCAAAGAAAAATTCTACAAAATGCAATCAAATAGAAAAATCTAATCGGTTAGTGATTAGTTTAATTCTCTTTCTACATCTGTTCGTTGTTTTTCTTCTTCATTTTTACTTACATTTTTCTGTAATAAAAATTATCAATTATTAAACTTGTCCATCTGAAATTTGTCAATTGATTAAAATGTTATCGGGATTTTATAAAGATTCTTCAGTTTATCAGCTTAAAGCTACCTACGATTTTTTAAATCTGAGCGTTGACACGGATCTCGTTAGTTTAAGCTTATAACCCGGTGTCCGGGAAAAAAGAATAGGGATTAATCGTTTTAATATCGAGGAAGATAGGGAGAAAGTAGAACGTAAACGAAGCGATGCAGTAGAGAAAATATAAAATTTTTGAGTCATCGATTTTCAAAACAGACAGGACGCATTATAAAAATATTGACTTGCAGACACTTACGTCAATGCTAAAAAAAGATCAACTTGCCTCTGATCATTTTTAACTTATTTTACATTTTTAGCAATTCATTAGAGATAGTAAAAACAATTTTCTTAATGTATTTGTTTCAACATTTCCTGTAGAAATTGAATTTTGAATAAAGCTAAAATTAGAATTAAGATTTAAATATAACTAAACTGAAAATTATACTTTACATAAAATCGGAATTAAAGTTTAAATTTGGAAATTAAAATTAAATATTTTACAATTGAGATTTCTGTAATCTCATTTCTGTAAATGAGATTGAAAATTATTTTGGTAGCTGTATTGAGCTTTGAACTTTTAAGTCGGATTCGTGGCCTTAATTCACATTCGTTTTATATGTATTTGTACGTATAGAATAATTTCACAATTAGTCCCTAGCTTTTCAACAAAGATCACGAAGAACTGCGGCCTTCTAATCCGTAGTCAACTCACGTGAGTCACCGCGACGCAGGAAGTGACTTGAGAAAAAAAGATAGAAAGAATGTCTACGTTGAAATAATGAATCGTTAATCGGATATTACAATGAGAGAGATTACACGCTTATATTAATCGAAAGTAGAAATCTATTTGAAAATATGTTACGACAAATGTTTCCCACAAATAGAAATCTAAGAGTTCACGATGAGAAATCATGAATTCAATCGCAAGTCAATCAATGCAAAACGATTCGCTTGGAATATGTACTATAACATCCCGTAAGATCTATTTGACAATTCATAAATGCATTCGCCGATTTTACCTTTGTTTTATTTGTGAAGCTTTGCGAAGCATTTGCAATTTTGTTAATTATAACGGCATTAATCTGTTGAACGATATCGTGTTACTATTAATATTTTGATATAAATAATGCAATCAGCATTTAACTAATTATATCGTCATTTTACATAGCATATACAAATTGTTCAATATTTGTACCTGAAATATCTTTATTGACTTTACAGACGCACGAAAAGTTTTCAGGGTAAAATTGCAAGAATATCGTTTAGATAAAACTATAGTAGGAGTAGGTAATTTTAGAACAATACTCAACATGTTAATCAAATGAATGTCAATATAGTGCTAGAGAAAGACCAGATACAGCTGCATACGTTATCATCGCATGTCCGCGTAGTAAAAACGATAAAGCCAGGCATTATTTAAGCGATAACATAGCAATGGGTTGTTCATCCTTGAAACCTTACAAGAAATTTTACTCGTCTGCGTTGTTTGATCGATGGTCATGAACGATTATAAAGATTGATACCATACTTGCGCGATTTCGTTACTAATGGAGCATATTGTAAAGTTGTTTTACAATATTGCCTATTTTGTTCAATGATATATTATCAGAATTTCGAATATTCGATAAGCACGTGTTTTTTCATTATAAAGGAATAGAAATTTTGGGTAATTAATCTTCAATGTTCATACAAATTTCTATTAAGTAGTGCAAGTCCTAAAATATGAATAAATAATAAATCAAATAATGTCGACCGTAAAATTGATATACCGCATCGATTTGACATAAGTTTGTACGTGATTGAAATTTATAACAGTTCAAAATTAACACACATTATTTTATTTTATTTTCTATGAAAAGCTAAGTTTTTTTACTTTATTTGCGAAGCTCTTTCGATCAACCAGATCCGCAGCTGCGTCTCCTTCGGACGCCGCATCCGCTTGTTTCACGCTCTTACAACGCTCGCCATTTCCGCTAATCTCCTGGAAACTTGTTAAGCCTATTGAATTTACTATAATCGTTCATTCGTTCGTGACAATTTGATTTTCGTCAGATGAGATTTTACACGTGAGCTGGTACATTGAATCGCCAGAATTAGTGCAATCGTAAATGGATTACGAGCGTAATAAAATTTTAAATGATTTTATAATGAGAGATTTAAAAAAATGTGAAATTACTTAGAACTTTATCATCTCTTTATTACACACTGTGTACTGTTGGCTGCAATATTGTTATATCAATAATCGTTTTGTTGTACACCATGGATGACTACGAAGCCAAGCAACTGCAGACGATTACGTGAATTCGCGGCTACGAATGATCGCGTTTGTTAAACACGTTATATGTGTAGTGAGTCAACTGTGAAAATGATACTTTACTCGACTTTGAACTCGATAGTGCCTTCGATTTATGTCTTGTTACAAAGTAGCAACGTGACTCCTCTCACTTCGCATAGATACGAAATTCTTGCGTGGCTATTGAACTGCAAAATAAAGTTTCGTAAAATTAAAATTCATAATACTTTGCACTTTCTTCAGGAAAATTAGACAGCTTTGATTGCAATTGATTAAATGCAATTGATTAAATGTGGAATAAATTATTGACCAGAAGTAATGGGAAAAATAATAATTTATTGACAGTATATAAGATGTAACAAACTCACAAAAGTCTTCCTCTCAGTATGCTCTTACAACTGATGAAACTTTTACTCTCGCAACGCTAAAAAGACTGATTTTTACAACGTTTTTACACTATATTTTTTCAACGCTCAGACACTACATTCAACACACTATATTTGTTCTCAATCGCTCACGATTTTATATTCTTGATCATGCATTCTCAATTTCCAGTCGCATGCACACGGTTCTCGTTGTTTTTCTCAAATCACATGCCGACTCGCTTAAACAGTCACACCGTACAAAACAATCGTGCATCAAACGTTTCGACATTCTCACTCTCGCGCTCATTCTCTCATACTTTATAATCCTACATAAATGCGAATCTTCTTGAAAAATATTAGATTATTTAATTGAAGATGAGATATTTTTATTAGACTAAGGTAATATTCCGCGAAAGAAATACACACGTCGATAAAATTAACGATGAAAATACTGATCCGATGACGATTCATAATTTCCACGAAACGCAGACCACGAATGTTATACCGTGAAGCTTAATAAGGACTCTCTAAGGGTGTTACGCACCATAAGGTTCACGAACCCCAGTGACTCATTGCGTGACACGCAATGATGCGGACTGTGAAAACCTTCTACGTGTCTTTTTTTTGTTTTCTTTACCGATGAGATAGCACAATGTTGTTTGTTTCGCACATACACACATTTTACATATTTTTCTTGATATAAACACAGTAATCAATTATGTAGATTAGAACAATCAATTTTTATCAAATTTTTATCAGAGTTAAAATATATTTATCCACATCTACATGTAATTTGCATTGGAAATCGATTATTTTATTCATCAAGTATTTTTCAATTATCTGCAAAAGCTGTATTATTACAAGCTCTTAATTACCGTTAATGACAAATTACGAAAGCGAAGTAAAAGTTTTCCGTGAATTGGAAATTAATTGGAATTTAAATATTTCTGCATTTCACGCGTTAAATGGGAAATTATTCTATTATATTAGTCAGCTCTTGCTCGTTTTAACGTTAATTTACACGGTTGAGCATACTTTATTGTGGCGATGCATAATACGTGCCCTATATACGAGACGAAACCGGCCTTAGGAAGGCGAGTGATTTCCTGCATTTGTCTCGCGTAGGCAGTATATGTGATTCCTACTCGCCTGATTAACATATGAATTCTTCGGACATAAAATCAATGTGCAAGCTGTCTTCGAAGAGGTATACGATATTACTCTGCCAATATTGCTTTTCTTCCAGAAT